GGTTTCAGATAGTTGAGATTTTAATACATACACAATTTCTGTCTTTTTCTTGCTCAGGAAGAAAATTATTTTAAAGAATCAAAAGAGCATACTCCAGTCTCTTAAAATCCATTTAAAGTTTTCAGTTATGCTTCAAGTTCTAAATGTTAAGAATGGGAATTTGGAGTCAAAAGTCCTGAGTTCAAATCCAGACTCTGATACTTTCTCTCCCTGCGTAACTTGATCAGACCATTAACCTGTATGTGCTTCTGTTTCCTCATTTGTGCAACACTGGGGTTCTTTCCATGTCCATGTCTATGTTCCTATGATCCAAAAAGAATGTTTCCTTTATGACATTCTGATCACATGAACACAGTTTTACACTCCATAGTGAAGCAAGATTATAATGGGGAAAATGCTCATCTTTTTCATTAGTAGCTAAGAAAATATTTTAATCTTAAGGAAAACAGATATTTTTTCAGCAACCACTACATACAACTGTAGTAAATCTGATGTGATAGGCAGAGCACTCAACTTAGAAGACAGGTTCTACTCCCAGCTGCAATACTCACCAGCCATGCCACCATAAGCAAATCACTTAAATTAAGTCTGTTAATGAGAAATGAACATTTACCATCTCTTTTATTAATAACAATCCAAAATATAGATTGTTATACATGTAAAATGTTTTTAAAACCCTAAACATTACAAAAAGATGTAAAACTATAAGCAATTATATTAAACTAATACTATTTGCTAGTATTATTTATCAAACCACCTATATTTATAGGCAGTACTTAGTCTACCCTTTATAAAACCTTAGAGCTTGAGATGGGGAGAGGAGAGAAAGAGGTAAAAACTTCTAGTTCTGTATCTTAATTAGCATGGCTACTTGGTATGTAAAAATTTCTTCTACAGATCAATTTCCTTGAATGACCTGGCATTTTCTTCATGTATACTCTGAATCAGCTATGTTTAACTAAGCTTTAGAAAAGAGATTAAAAAGGCCAGATTAAAAGAAATTTGATTAATGTCTTAGCAATATCCTGTTTTAGCTAAAGTTTTTCGAAGCAGGTATTTTATCCAAAAATAACACGGTTCTCAGGTTTACTCATTTACACAGTTATAACATTTTGTCCACCAGAGGGCTCCAATTATTTCTTCTATATACGAAACAGAAATATAACCAAAATGACAATTTTAAAAAATGAAGTCCAAACCCCCAAATAATACTACAAATTCAAATTAAGTTCATATTATGTCACCCCAGAGCTAACATGGAAAATAGAATTTTGTTACATCTGGCTAGCCCCTATTAGTAACAAAAATGACACTTTATATGGAACTTTTCTTCAAAGATATAAAAATACTTTATCGGAATTCTTTCATTAATACCCAGCTCCTCTTATAGGCAGACAGGTGTTAGTTCACAGAAGTATCTTTAAAAGGACGGACTTGCATCAAATCTAATTCCAAAAGCAAAAAAATAGGATTGTAGTCCACTGATTCACCCAGTAATCCAAAACCAGCATACAAAAACTTCTGTTTGAAAATACAAATAATTTTTTTGCTAGAGAACTCCTCCCACCACTCCAAAAAGATGAATTACATTCCTGTCTACACCACTGACGTTCTTTCTGACAGACAGTAAATAGTCTTATGCTGACTTGACCTACAGCCATCAAAGTAATTCAAGCTATCATTAAGAACAACCAGAGCGAAGTATTAAATTCCCCTACTAAGAACTGTATGCTGTGAATTAAGTTAAAATGAGGAATACTTTTATGATACACTTCTAAATTATCATACTGATTTTTATGTTTAATTCAAATTTCTTTAAAAAAAAAATAAGTTGCTTAACCGAGTTTTCAGCATTTAATTTAAAATTAAAGTGCTAGAACTTCCTTAGTCAAGGGACTCAGTACCTAAAAACATTTTAAGTAAATAAATACTGATAAAACTAAGTAAAAGTAATACTGATAAAATTAGTCTATCTTAAACTCCAAGTATGAGTATCTGGATATGTAAAACGGGAATAATAGTATTAGCACATTTTACAAAGGGTCAAATGAGATAAATGACCTGAAAGATCTTATGCAGTACTAAGATAAAACAATTAGTACTAATAATTTTAAAAGTGCCAAAACCACAATAGAAAGTGATAAAAAAAAAAAAAAACCACCTTACCCATAGGATCACAGATCTAGGGCTAGGCAAGACTTCAGTTCATGCTGGAAAAACGAGTATGCCATGTGGTAAGCAAAATTAGATTTTATTTAAAAATAGCTAAGTCACAAAATTTACAAAAATACAAAACCAAGACTAAATGTATTTTTAAGTCTCACAGTCAAAACCGTAAGCTTTTTCTTAAAAAAGATGCTTTTGAAAGATCAGTAGATTTAATGACTACTGAACTTTAAGAATGAATTATCAATTGATGAAATATAAAGCTCCACAGCTCCACTCTGTCCCCAAAAGAGTATTTTCTCAGATACCAAGCATTCACTACACCAATGTTAAGAGAATAATAAAGTTAACTTCTAAATAGTATTCTTACTCTAATATTAAAATTTTGCAGATTTGGAATTCTTGAAATTTGGTCCAATGAAACTGAAGTGTGCTAATTGACCAGTGTAATCCATGCTTAAAAGCTTATTGGAATGTAACATATACATGCTAATCAATTTAGGAATTTTGTTGTAATAATACACAACTTAGTTTCAGAGGTATAGTTTTAGCTTTTAATTTCAGTCTAAAATAAATGTGTGAAATTAGCTTCCACTGGTTTTGAATAATCAATGTAAATATAAACAGAGTAAATTATTCACATCCAACAAGTCTAGCAAATCTGTAAGTAATCAATCTACAACTTCTAACCAATATTTTACGTGATTTCATAAAGTAACTTGGGTTGTGAATCTTGGAGTAATGTTAAATTAAAGAATACAGGAAAAAGAAATTAAAGAATACATTTAAGTAATTTCCTATGTTTCTAACAACCAATAGAATCTTAACAGCTTTAAATGACATGATAAAAATCTCAAGACCCCCTAAAACAATTAGAAAAACAAACTTTGGAACAAGTTAATTTGGGCTGGACCATACTGCCTATTCAGAAACATCTACATTAAGGTGTTATATGAATATTACATAACATTGATTTGCCCTTGTTGCATATCCCCTTCAATCAAAGGATCTCAAAGCACTAGAGAACACCAAGGCCTTACGACAATGTCAATCTAAAAAAGATAAATTGTACTAAGTTTAATTTACAAAAGTAAAAACTGATGTAGCAAAACAGCAGAAAAGTAAATTAAATCCTATAGCCTTCCTTCCAAATCCCTGTATTTGACCTGCAGCTTCCATTCCCTATCTCTGACCAGAAAACAATATTCCCAAGTCATCTGTAACAGGGACAATATTATACATGATGCTACGCACATTCCAGTTTTTCTCCAACTGCAATCACCAGGCCTAGATAATAGTAACATTATCTTAACTGCATGTTTATTTCAATATGGCTTTTGTGACAGAATAAAGAAAACCTGGAGCTTTTCAATGCAAAAAAAAATTTTAATGGTAATTTTAAAGACAAAACCTTTTGCTGGAGTTCCAATGCTCCCCAGACCAACAGACTACTCACCACCAAACAAGAGAAAAAGCACTAAACAGCACTACCTAGAGACCCCTTTAGTCAACTTCAGGAGAGTGAAAGATAACATGTCCTGGCATCCTTAATCAAAGAAAAAGGCTTTTGTCATGTGTTGAGTTTAGGATGTGTGCATGGTGGCGGTAAAGAAATTAAAGGAGAATGCAAGGAAGCTTGGGAAGGAAAGGTTTCCATCTGAGGCCAAATAAGCAGGAACTTACATTTATTCTGTATTTATACATCACATCACATGTCAAGATAAGAGCAAAATAAATCTCTACATGTACTAAGTTATTTTTCTTTCTATTTAAAAAAAATGGTCAATGCAGTTTCCTGCTATGCAATCATTTATCTCTTGTCTCTTAATGGTTTCAATTTTCTATAGGAATACAATAAACAACTAAAAACTACCACATTTCAAACAACAAGGTTATCTCATCTATATTAACTACAAATCTATTTTAAATGAGATTATTCATCTTTAGGCTTTTTACCATACTTGGCTTTATTATTGCAAACGCCATGTAATTTCACACCAAAAATCCACATTGTAAGCTTACACAGCCATTCTAGTTAGTCAATAAAGTCACAACCTTAACCTTTAAAAAACAAAAGCGTCGACAAACAAGAGGAGTTTTGTTTCAAATACTAAACATAAGGCGAAATTCAATAATGTATGGTTTCTCTGTTTTTTAGGTCTAAGGATGTTAATAATATCAAACATTTGATACAGTTACAGGAAGTCGTGGAAAACTGATGTAAATTTCTAACATTATGACTGTCCTATTTTGTGAGATTTCCTTAACAGCTTAACATTCCTCTCGTCCAGACACATATTAGCCGGTAAACTGGGAGGTGGGGGAAGATAACTAATTCCAAATGTAATACAGACCATAATATAATTTTAAGTAAGAAGGAGTAATACTTCACTGTCCTTGGAAAAATGTCAAGTTTGCGGCTACTGCGTTAATGATCTTATAGTGTTATAAAGGCGGGATTTTATTTTTCCTAATGATCAATTTCTATCCAGTACATGAAATACCAATTCTCCGGCTCTACCTGGTGTCACTGACAATTTCAGAAGCATTAAGGTAGAAGTGTTTCTTACATCTGGTTCTAGAGGAAATAGGAAGTTCATTTCTTTTCTACTAAAGCTCCCTACTTCTGCAATTCTGTATGATTCTCCAAACAAAAACACTGGTAGAAAAGGGGAAAAAAATCAGAGGCTGCAACTTTAGTGCTCTAAATCACCAGACGGTGTGGTTTCCGAACTATTTCCATAAAATATCCCCTTTGCACCCAACACCCTTCCTAAGTAAATAAAACTGAAATATCATCTTAAACAAATAATAACAATACATCCTTCACTTACCATATCAGCCGGAACATTGCTGGACATCTTGCTGTTTGATTTATACCCTGCTGATCAAACAAAAATACGAGATCTTCAAGCCACAGAAACAGCTCCTCTACCAATTTTGACTTAAGTTATGTGCTTTTAAAAGAAACTTGTTTTAAGAAAAAGATTGTTGGATTGGTTGAGGTTCTGATGAAAAAAAAGAAGAAGAAAAATCCACAGGAACTGTCTTTAGCTGTGTCAAGAGCAAAACTCCAGAGATGGCAGCAGATCCCTGTCAGCAGCAGCAACAGTACCCACCGTGCCAGGTAGACCAAACCGAATGAGGCATGGACATGAAGTGGGGTGGGAGGGGGTTAAATCTTCCTTCCTCCTTTCCCAGCCCAGAGAATGATTCACAGCAGCTCCCGAGTCAAGTCCTCATTAAGCAGGAGAAAAAATGTCCCGATGTGTACATAGATAGCTATGTAGATACACATGCAGGGTAAGAAATAGCAGGAGAGCCGGACCAGTCCCCGTGCACCCAGAAACACGCACAACTCCCGGACTGGGAGACACGGAGATGGAAAAACCCTAGGGGGAGGGGGGAGGTTGCGATATCTCGGGCGGGGGGAGAGGGAGGGACACAGAAGCTCAACTTTCACTCCAGAGGCTGGGGGGGGGGGGGGGGGGGAGATTCAGAAACAAGGCCAGAAAGAATCTGTAACTTGTGAGTGGCAGAACCGAAAGACCGGGGGGAGGGGGGGGGGGGGGGGGGGGAAGAGGTGAGAGCGAGGAGGGGGCCGGGCCGGGCCGGGCCGGGCCGGGCGGGACAGGAAATCCCCGCACTCCCCAGAGGATCAGGCGGCCGTCGGGGTCGCCCACCGGCAGCAGTAGCAGCAGCAGCCAAGTCGAGTCTTGGGAGTCATCGTCTCCAGCTTCTCAGGACTCTTTTCTTCTCCTTCTCCTTCTCCTTCTCCCCCCGTCTCTCTCCTTCGTTCTCGTCTCCTCTCCCCTCCTCCCCCGTCCCTCTAGCCGTCAGTCAGGCGGATCAGGGCCGGACGCCGCCGGGAGCAGCAGTTCTCCCCCTCTCCACAGCCCGGTTCCGGTTTCTTTTCAGCCCTCTCTCCTCCCCCAACTGCTGCTGCTGCTGCTGCGCCTCCACTTTTCAGCCTGAGACGCAGCAGCCACCTCCTGTCATCGCCTCTCAAACCAACATGGCGGCTCCGGCGGGCGGTGGCGGCGGCGGCGGCGGCTGCCTGAGTCTGGAGTAGAGAACACCGAGAAGAGTTCTGCCGCCCCACTCCGCCTCCCCTCACCCTCCCAGGCTCCCGCTGCCCCACTCCCTCCCAACCACCAACACTGGCTGCGTCACTACGGAGACCACCGTCTAGCATCATGGGAATTGTAGTTCTCGCTCCAGAGGGGGCGCACTTGACGAGCCTTCCTCTGGACTCAAGCCACACCTGACCTTAGCAATGGTTGCTAGGACGAAGAAGCTCCCTGCTTCTGATGCTGCGAAGCTGCTTGCTTGCTTAGGACTTTGGGGTGACTTCTGAGTTACTAAAACAACACTAATAATAGCTAGCATTTAAGGTTGGCAAAGCACTTTAATAATAACAACATTTATATAATGCTTACTATGTGCCAGCCACTGTGCTAAGCTCATTATCTCATTTGATCCTCATTGGAACCCTGAGAGCTAGGTGCTATTATCATCTCCATTTTACAGATGTGGCAACTGAGGCAGACAGAGGCTACCTGAAGTTCCCAAGGTCATACACCTAGTAAGTGTCTGAGATCAAATTTGATCTAAGGTGTTCAGCTCCAAGCCTGATCCACTATGCTACCTAACATTATAAAAGGCATGGTGTTGTGAGCCTAGGGGAATTCATGCTGTTATTACAAGTTTTCATTATTAAAAAGTGGCATTTCCTAGAATCTGCTTTTCCCTGAGAAGCATTCATGTGCAATGCACACACACATTCAGTTAAAATGTAGCAGGTTCCAGTTAGAAGAGAAATGGAACCCAAAGATCAGTTTGAATCCTGACTGCTAATTATTTCCCTTGAGAGCCTGGGCAAGTCATTTAACTTCTTTTGCTGAAGTTTTTTGTTTTTTTCTTTTTAATCTATAGATAAGGGAGTTGGACTTAGGTGATCTCTGAGGTCCCTTCCAGCTCAAAATCTATGATCATGTGGTACTAAATAGTCTAAAAAGAAAAATGGATTGCCTCCTTATCTCAAAGCATTCTGTAGTCAGTGAATCATTTCCCCACTAATCATCCATATCTATTGCATTTTAAATATCAGAAGCAATCACTAATTTTTAATAAGCTCCTCAATGTTCCTTCACAGTAATTTATCATGCAGTCCAGTTTATTTCTGATTAGAACAGACAATATCAGCCTACTTAGAGTAAGTAGTCTTTCTGCTTTAACAGATTGGCTAGGAATACAAGAAACCTTCCCATGGGGTGGAGGCAGAAATGGAAGCAGATGGATCAAGTTCCTACAGAAAACCAGTGGCAGAGGAAAAAAAGGAGTGAGAAAGGGAGGGAAGTATGTTTACTAGGCCTCATGCATATTCCTGAGCATGTAGCCAGACCATGATCTCAAGCTCCCCAGCCTCCTCACAGTGAGCTTTCCAATCCCATTACTTTCCATCCCTTCCCCCTCCAGGTATTGAGGACCATTTAAAGAAGTGTTCAGTTTGTCAATATATTCATAAGAAATTCTTGGATATATTTTGTGAAGCTCTCACTGACAGGACCACCTCCACCCTTCCACTTAGTCCAAGGCTGTGGTCACCCTCACCACACTGACCAAGGGGAAATTGAGTGGAAAGGGGTATAGGATATCAGGACCCATGAAAGTATGATTCTATTCTTCCCCTAAAAGGAGTTTCCACCAGTCTATACAGAGAAACAGTGCCATCACAACCAACTTGCTATATGATCTAATGCCCCCTCACCCCTGCCATTGTCCTTGTGCCATCCTTAGATGCCCACATTCTCCTGTCCTCCTGACATAAGATCATGACATCCAAAGGAGTCAATCCCGTGGTGTCAGTTCAGAATGGAACAGAATGTCTGTTTCCTAATACTGCTGTTACAACATGATACAAAGTTAATATCATAGTTACAAGCATCTCTACCATCTCGTCCTTGCTCTTAATACTTTGGGTAGGAGGGGAAAAGGAAGGAAGAAATGAAAAGTAGCACATAGCCACACCCAGGAAAACTAGGTTCCTATCTGTTTCCTAAATAGGCCTTCACTTTCTTTTTTCCTGCTACATCTCCACCTGGAAGGTTCTCCTCTGTCATCATAATCCCAGGGGAAACAAGACAGGAGATGGTACGAGGAGCTGGGAGATAGTGAAGGAAGTCACACAAGAAGGAAAGGCCTCTCTTTAATTTTGTACCTGAGAGGAAGATCAGGGTTGAATGAATGTGTGTAGAATTATTCTTCTTTTATCTTTAATGTAAAGCAGCATAGACCACTGAAAATGACACCCAAGGGGGCTAAATGCGTGAAGGGACTACATTCTACACCAGTGAAAGATGTTCCACATTAATATGACTTTAGTGTAAGCTCCCTGGGAATGGAGAGTATTTCTTTTTTGTCTTTGTAGTTTTAGCACCTACAACAGTGCCTGGCACATAAATGCTTAAAAAATGTCTGTTGATTCATTGATTGTGAAGTATTATTATAAGTATTTTTGCTGACATAGTGATGAGGTTTAGGGGTGCTGGGACCCCAAAATCACAACACGTGGGTCCTGCCCGAAAGAATTCGACCCAAGCCTTCTTTCAGCCAAAGACAAGGTTTATTAGAATATCCATCTTATTGGGCAGACTCTCAAGGAGTCTGAATGTTAGTGAGCTATTGGCTAGATTGTAAGAATCTAAGCATCTTAATAGAGACAAGATGGATCTTATATACAGAAAGACTATGGGGGGGGGGGATCTAGGAGTGGCCAAGTAGTCTAATGAGGTAATAGAACTCCTGGGACCAGGACAATGAGGCCTAGGGAAAATAAAGCCTAGACAGGATTAAGGGTGGGAAGTGGCCTGGGGCCATAGGGAGGTAAGACAATGGAGGGAGAGGCTAGGTTAAGGGTAACAGAATTGGGAGGTTGAATCTAAGCAATAACAAAAGGCCAGTTGACGTATTGTAGCCTCAGACAAACGCCAGAGATTTGGCCATGTGGGAAAGTCCAGGATTCTTCCTTTTTGGGGTCTAGATCCCATCCTCATCATTAGGACCATAAAATTTAGTGCTTGATGAAGTCTTGGAGCAGGGGTTCTTAACCTGTGATTCACACACAAGGGAGTCCATTGACTTGGATGAGGAAAAAAATTACAGTAGATCATTATTTCAATATAATTGACTTCCTTTGTAATCCTATGTAATTTGTTTTATGCATTTAAAAACATGATTCTGAAAAGGGGTCCAAAGTCTTCATCAGACTACCAAAGGGGTCCATGACACCAAAAAGTAAGTTAAGAACCTCTGCCTTAGAGGCTATCTGGTCTAGCTTCCTATTTTATAGATTACAAAAACATACCCAAGTCTTCCAAGTCAACTTTTTTCATCCTTCTAATACCCAGCTCAATTCCCTTCTCCTTAATATACCTCTAACTAGTCAAGCCTATAGTGATCTCTCCTACTGACCTTCTGTAGTATCAGCAGTTATTATCTGTGTAACATCTAGACTAGCCCCTTTGTTTTCACAGAATCTGAAAGCAAGGATAGTTAAATATCTTTGTCTACAACAAAGTTAGAGGCAGAATGGTGACTAGAAACTAGGTCTCCTGACTCCTAATTCAATATTCTTTCCTTGTATCTCTTTCGCAATTAATCTTATTCTACCGTTTAATACATTTTGCATTGCTGCATGAAGCATTGTTTGCTTCCCTAAATAGACTGTAAGCTCCTTGAGGTCACAGACCCTATGATTTACTTCTTTGCATCTTCAACAGAGTTTTAAAAACACAAATTTAAAACTGGAGGAGACCTTAGGGGAGATCTCATCCAACCTTCTCATTTTATTGAGAAGGAAACTGAGGCCCAGAAAGGTGAAATTACTTGGCCAAAGGTCACACAGGTACTGAGTCCCAGCTTCTCTGATTCCCAAGCCAGTAGCATTCTTTCAAAGTACCCTCCTGAAGTATTTTGCATTTAGTGGACATTCAATTAATAATTTTAATTGATTATACCTCCCTATAGGATGTGGTCTTACATGAATTTGGAGCTTGATTCTCACCCACTAAAAAGGATCATTTTTCATTTTTTTGCTTGGCTGCCTCCATCTGGAATTAATCTAAAAAGATTTCTAACATAAAACATGGGTAAAGTTAATGTCTTTGAGTTTCCCCAAATGTAAGTACCAGGGTCCCCAACACTGGAGTAGAGGGAGCAAAAAGAGAAATATTCCCTCCCCCCTCTTCCTACACTCTGGTCCAGAAATTCAAGGGAAAGCAGAAACCGTTTCACATTTCACTTTTACTGACCACTGGGAGAATTTGCTCTTCCATCAAGAGTCAGTTCTGTTGACTCTCATTCAGCAGTTATCTTGGAGACTGCCCAATCACTGGTAATTCAGAGGAGTTCCCTGTGTCTTCCAACAAAAGACTGGGTGTATGGGTACCCTTCAAACAAACACAAAACACTTAATGTGCCTTCTTGCCTTGAAGCAGGAATGGCCCCTAAGGTCTAGCCCTATGACAATAATTTTA